AACAATTCTGGATTACAATCTTTCCAGAAAGATCAGCCCGAAGCTAGTTTTGAAAAGAACAAAATGAAGCCAGGGAAACTATGGAAGTGAATGATGGGAAGACAATTGGTGACAAGGTCATGTAGATGCTCCCCCTCAAAAAAAATGAAATTAATAAAAACCTGCAATTTGAGACTCAAATGAAGCAGGAGAGCTACATAAATGCAATCCTGAAGGCAGCAGATCATGTCAATTCATTCTCTGAATAGCAAGAAAACTGTGTTCTTATGTGTATCTCCCCCCAACATTCTCAGACATGTACAGACCTAGGAGCTCTTCATGCACAAGACAGGCTTAGGGAAACCTGCCAGGTGCCTATCATCCGCTGAATACACCTTTCTTAGTTCCCACCAGCAAGCCATTGTGCTAAGAGTGGCATTTGCACAAAGCCAATGCAGTGCAACACTCGGTAATCAGCAACAAACACCTAAAGACAAAACTCTTTGAAGCATGCCTGGTGCTTTGTCACCAGGCCACCAAGGGAGATAGAATAGAATTCTGCAGGAGAGTGCATGGTGTGCTACATGACGGCTTCTAAAACAGGAATCAATTGTGATTTCAGCTTAGATAGAGCCCTGAAGTTCTACTAACACACAAAGACACAAAAGCAGAGCAGAACCATCCAGCTTACCCATGGCCTCCACGGAAAGCAAACATTTCATGGAATGGAAACTGCCTATGGAGATCACGTTCAATTACATCCAGCCACTTGGGATCCCCTGGGGCCACATCTAACTCCTGTGAAAAGACAGAATAATTACTGCAGGGGTTTTCAGAGTTCTACTTCTAGAATAGCAAGAGAAATACCAAGTCGCAAGGACAGTAACTTCTATACCTAAAACCCTCCACAACATTCTCCTTTGGAAGGACAAGATTAAAATGGGCACCACAGTTGACTTCTACAGACTCTTAAGCACAGCAGTTTGCAGACTATAAAAGACTCTCAAATGAGAGAGAGAGAGTTCACAATGGAGTTTGGATTTCAGAAGCACAGAGATCACTAATGGAGAACCCACTCAGAAGCACAGAGATGACTACATTCCTGAAAAAAGCAAATGTGAAGCTAACATTATCCCCAAAGTAAGAGAAAGATACTTCATGTAAACAAAGATATACAAGCAAAGTGCATTGGAGGGAATGACTGACTCCAAAGTTTGCACTGTGCCCTCCAGACGTCTACTGTCAGACAACAAGCAGACATGGTGAATCATAAACTGACCACCATCATTACAGGTCCAATGGCTGTTTGTACTAGCTACAGCACAGAAGTTCTATAGTACTTACTGGAGACATACTCTGCATCTACACATCTGGAACTGAAATGGCAGAACTGGACTTCAGATGACCAAAGGGAAATAACTCTTTCACATGTTAAAAAGCTCATTACAAACACAGAACTCACACATCAGGGAGAAAGGTTCTAGGAGTCTACAAGGGAATTTTTACCAAAGCGACATGAAAAACTGTCATCTCCTACCTCCAGACTGGTGCAGTCCATTCTACCACCTCATTCTGCTTCATGTGCAGACTGAGCCTTAGACTAGAAGCACAATGAGGCATGGGACTGATAAACAGGCATGGGGTTAGAGGAGTGTTATGAACTAAAATAGTTGCAGTCAAGATTCCACTGGGGCCCACAGATACAGAGAGAGCTCATTCTATGGCACCTACAGCAGAAGGGTACCCAGTGCAAAAGTGAGGTTCAAATCCATGGATGCTGCAGTCTTACGAGGAATTAGCTATATTTTACCAGGAGCTGTCTACCTTGGTGGTGGATTCCCAACCTTAAAGAACATGAGAAACTTCCAAGCCCTTGATAACCACATCTTGTCCTAGTGAACTCTAAAAACTAACTCCATGTTTTGTGAAATAGTACTTTTCAAGTATCCTGAGCTTACAGTCACTGAGTGATCCACACCCTTGTACTGAGAGCACAGAGTTTCCTCCAGTTCCACTCTGGGTCTTACATCAAACTTGCCAGGATTCTGATCCAACTTGACTTTGGCTCCTGAGAGGTACTGCCATGCCCGACCCCGCAAAGATGGTGGGATCCCCTTCTGGCATCTCAGCCGGATCTGAAGAGGCAGAAAATCAACATTAAAATGCAAGAGCTTCACAGCTTCCTTCTCCCACAGTGAGCATGACGTACTGTGCCCAGAAGAAACCTCAGTCCACCTTGTTCCCTCCCACACCTCTGGCTGAACAAAAAGAGCAGATGGACAAATGCCTTTGACTTAACCTTAGCTTTCGACCCCAGCTATAACATCTGCTTACTTTCCTCCCTTATTACTATTACCTCTTCCCCACTCAATTGCCATATAACCTTAATATTTTAAGCTCTTTGTTAGCAATGACTTATCTTTTGCTTCTTTTAACTTGAAAAGCACCAAGTGCACCAAAGGCATTATTTTAGAGGATATCTCGTTGTGAAGCAAGTGCACACACAGGTTCCAGATGCATTTGATATAATGCACAGGAACCAAGCTTTATTCATCACTGACTTAACAGGTCTCTGAACAGTTTTAAAAATCTGTTTCCTTTGACATAACAAAGGAGATGCTCTACTACTACTACTACTACTGAACCATAGCACCTTCTATTTGCTGGAATTTGGGTTTCCTGGCTTAAGATAAAAATGGGATGAGGTAGCCACTACAATAAGGAACTACCCCACTCCCCAAGGACATATAGGCACTCCTCTGCTTTAATGTGACATCGTGCCATATAGGAATACTTCATCTATGTAAACAGGATCAATTCCATGGGTCTTCCCGACAGAATCCTCACCTTGGTAGAAGGGAGACCAACAACTGAACATTCAAGAGACATTTCTTAGACAGCTGTACCACAGCCATGTGCACAATGGGGAAGAGGTTCCCAGCAGCTGGACATATGTGCCTGCGACAGGGGTTTGACTTTGCCTTCCTCACCCTTATGCTCATACACCCAGACCACCAGTGATTGATTTCAACAGTTATGAGGACTACCCCTCAAATTCCTCTTTCCCCAAGACCCAAGAAAATCTTCATGCAATTATTTGAACAACTTGAGTGCATTGAGACTACCCTGGAACGAGCTCTTAATTAATTTTTTTTAACAGATGGCTGTTCTGCCACAATTTAGCTACCAATACCTTGCTAAAACATATGAGACAATGCCCATCTATATAAACTGACACCTGCAAACCAGAGCAAATAGCAGAACTAATACACAAACCCCCTGGAGGCAGAATGCAGGCAGAATGTTTGAAATTAACAGAAAGGGGACATCCATTCTTGAATTTAAAAAACAATGGCTTGTACCTATCTTGCAAAGTGCACACTGTTCAAGTGGACTCATCTGGAGATGCTGCAGAGCAGGAAAAGACAGAAAAGCAACAGCCACTAATTACTAGAGGCACAGAGAACTTTCTGCATGATAGAAAGCCAAGCTAGTCAGGACCTGCCAGGGCTGGATCATCTGTTTAAGTATATAAAGTTGTGTAGTTGCAGGAAGATGATCAGTAATCATTTCAGCTTTTGAAATATTAATTTCAAAAAGTTTCTTTCTTCATCACGTATTGGTGCCAGAGGTCCACTAATCCATGAGAGCAATATATATGAAAGTGTTATTTAAAAACACCATGCCTGTATTTTGAGCTTGTTTGTTCTTCCCAAGGGAAATTATCTTGTCTGTTACAAAGAAAACATTGATTAGTCTGTTGTTCTGTGGGGATTTTCCCTGAGATGAGCAGTGTCCACAGAGGCCTTAAGAGCACTTTATTTATTGAGTGCATTGCAATTCTTTCAGGCAATTCTTTCAGTCAAATAGAAGGATATATAACTGAGTATTTTTTAAAAAAGAATTCCTGGAACAAAGGGGAATTGACAGCTATGCAGGAGCCACCAAATCGTTTCGGATACTCCCAATATGCATGTGCTTAGCCAAATAAGACATCATGATCAACATTTTCAAGCAGAAATAGCAGTCACATAGAGGCCTGATCTAGACTGGTCCCTTTGCAGCTATTTCTATTTGAGAACACTGGGAGGATCTCATCCCGGATCTCCTGGCATTTTGCCTAGCTAAATCTCATGCCTTTAGCACACTGTACTTTAAAACTTCCCTGAAATATCTTCATCTGGCTGCTGCTGGATGCACTGAGTAGCTTGCAAGCCCAAACTAGCTCCACTGCAAGCAATTCTAACAGAGACCCTTTGTGAATTCAGTGGGGCCAGGAATGCTAAGGGAGAATAAAATCCGGCTGATGCTACACTCAAAGCATCAGCGATAGCTAGAAGAGCATAAAAGAGATGTTAAGGTCCAGAGCAGACTGAGGAGTCAGCAGTCTCAGCTAAGGCAGGGCTTATTTCGACAGTCCATGTCAGCCAGAGCCTACAGAAGACAGCCACCTCCCCTCCCCCTTCTGGTCTGTGGGAATGGCAATGTTTGCTACTAACATCAAAGACAGTTTTGAAGGCAAGCTTCCACCCTCCCACAGTTGACTCCTGCCGGGCAACCTAAAAGGTTACTTCTGGTGCTAAAGCGACAGAAGGCAGCAAGGTACACCATGCTCTGAGGGAACGGAAAGCCTGCAGGTAACTAGATGGTTGGGAGGTCTCTGGTGTATGGGCTGCAGGAGAAACATCCAGGTTTGGCTCACCCTAGGAAGTCAACTAAAGGCAGGTCACATACATGACTGGCTTCCTGCTGTGAAAGGGCCTAGGGATATTCTCTCTCTCCAAGCCGAAGATCCATTTTGCATCTGTGAAATCTCAAACCAAAATGGAGGTCTTCAGGAAAAGACTTCAACACATTGCACCCATCCCTAGTAAAAAGCAGAATTATGCAAACATGCTTTATTTGCTCAGGCTGCAGAATCTGGCCATCTCTAACACAGAAGGAGTTTCACCAAGGTGCAGAAGGCAAGAAAAATGATACTTTTAATCAAACCCCTATTATTTAACCCTAAGCATCCCCAAAAAAGCACTTCCTTTCTGGAGACCCCTCGGTAACTTGAACTCTCCTTTTTTTGTTGTTGTTCAGTCGCACAGTCGAGTCCGACTCTTCATGACCCCATGGACCACATCACGCCAGGCTCTCCTTACTCCTTACTGAAACAAGAGGCTTCAGCGGAAGTCAGGTGAACATCTGAAGGTTCTCATCCTTGATTTGCTGATAACCAGGAGGAAAACCCCTTGCTTGTACCACTCTGCAGCCGTTCCACACCCCAACTGCTTTGGAGGTTTTTTTAATTGAGGAAGATTCTGTGTGTAAAATTGATTAAAATAGACTCTACATTACTGCGGGTCAGATCCCCCCCCCCCCGCCATTCACCTCTGCTTCCTCATGAAGTTCAGAATGGCATACTACCGTCTGCTTTAGTGAAGCCAAAGAGATTGTGGCTATTTTCAGATCAATCATCCTGTGCTCCAGCCTGTGCTCTGGCTTTTAGCTTCTGCTCTTTACAGTTTAACCTCCATTCCCATCCACCTCAAACAGGGCTGTGCATAAGGAACTCTCAGCAGATAGTGCCTCACATCGGGGGGGGGGGAGGGGGGGAGCTACCGGGGACAGAAGAGCCAGGAGTCTCCAGAATACTGACTGTACAATGTTATGTTGCCCAGTGACTTCACAGACAGGAAGGAAACAGAGGTAGGAGGAGCCTGACTGGATTCTGCTTGTGATACCCTGAACGGAACTGACCCACAGCTCCCATGGGTTAAGAGGTATACGGATTCCAGATCCATCTTTGCAATGGTGGAAGGGGAAGAGGGAGAAGAGCATAGCCAAAAAAAATGTAGCTATTCAAATGTAGTCTAGTTTTCTATTTTAGTAATCTGTTTAAAACTAATAAGTTAAGAAGCACTATGAGGTAGACAAAGCACAGCCCAAAAATTCTCAACAGAGCAAACTCCTTGGTAACTAGGCATCTGACACACTATACATTTAAGCTATCTTGCTATTATGGAGTTAAGGCAACAGTGGGCTATCTGGTGATCAGACTAAACCTGCCTAGTATAGCTATGCTTATGTTGTTGTAGTTAATCAATTTTTCCATGGTAAGTAGGAAAGACACCCCAAAACAAGAACTGGAAAGAATTTAAGCATAATTTTATGGTCATTTCCCCTCTGCCAATTGTCTTGCACCATTCACAAGTCACAATTATAGAACCATACAGTGACATCTACCCAGAACCAGAGACAGCCCTACTACTGTTCATAGCCTTTAATCACACGAGTAAGGGAAGTACAGCAGCCAAGAGACCAAAGAATGAACCAGGAAGTCCTTGCATATATACAGTAGGTCTAAGGCAAACCTTTCTTATTGTACACCCAGGAGAATACTGCTCTACCATATAGGGGAACTATTCTAAAGATTATTGAGGTAATCAAAACTACTGTAGCAAGTGCCATTATTCATCTCCATATGGACGGACAGGTCACCATCTTGGCAATGGATAGCAGGCTTTTGCTTGTACAGCTGAAATCAGAGGCTGAAATCAGGGTCTGTGGCTCAGTGGTAGAACATCTTCTTTCCATTCCGTTCCATTCTGAGTGTTCCAGGCTCAATCCCTGGTGCGTCTGATTAGGCAGTACTGACCATGATGGACCAATGGTCTAATTCAGTATAATGCAGCTTCACAGGTCACATTCAAAGGTTGTCATCTCAGGACAGCCAGACAGTGTAAATGGGCTTAGAATAAATAAAGAGGACACCCTAGAATCCCCCAGCCAGTATATGGAACCACTGTTGTTTCAGGATAATGATCACTGCTGAGAGGCTGTCTGGATTCCTTTCCAAGTCTCAGCCACAGACACAACAATCTGCAGCAAGATCTGCAGAGCAGCTGATTTAGATCAAAGCAAGCAGGCGTTTGTGGAAGCATGCAGAAAAGGCAACACGAAGCAAGCTCAGAACCCCACCCTGATGAGAAGGTTGGCAGCAGGAAGTCTGCTAGAGATGGGAGCAGTAGGACTGCACTGCCTGTTTGACTGCTCAAACTACCTTTTGAACAACCAGCACAGATTGCAGAAGAAATACTGTAGCACTTGGTTTAAAGTGAAATTTAAACATGGGCATGTTACTTTCTACATTCTTCTCAAAACTCACAACGTCTTCCCCACAAACACATTAGATTAAGGCTAACTTTTCCACTTTATATTCAGTGACCAATTATATCTATTTCAGCAAATTCCAAAATTGATTCTTCATTCAGCAACATGTACCCTCCATCTCGTGAAGACAACTTTGCCCAGCAATGACCACCCTCTCTTCCAGGAGTCTCTGGGCACTCTGCCATCAATCAGCACCCAAATTTGTGCACATACAAGGACTCTAAGCGAGATTTTTAAAAGCCAAAAGCCATTAGTGCTCCAAAATGAAATTCACATTTGCCCTCCTTGTCTCTAAGCCGATATAATTGCACAGAACAAACAGTTTATGTGCTCTAGGACCATAGGTTTTAGATTACACTTCTTGGTTGAGAGCTTATTGATTTTAAACTAATGAGTCTGAATTGTTACAGCAAACACACAATACAGTATTGCTCAGGAAATGCATGTATAATCGAAAATTTGATTTTTTCCCCTTTTAGGTGGCAATTTTAAATGTGACTTAAATCAGCCTATCTTGCCATTGGGTGCTGGTATACTATGTGGGATGGAGAAACTCAGCTTAAGGCAACTGAACTGAAAGAATCTACAATAAAGCAGTTACAGTCCCACACTGCCGTAAAATATAGCACTGGCAGCTCCTCCAGAAAGCCCAGTTTAACCCAGGGAACACTCCACAAAACCCTCCTGGGCATTCCTGCAAGCTGCAGTCACCTGTCTCAACCTACAGCTGCTCTAGGGAAGGAGGCAGCCTCACGCTGGGGGCAGTGTATAAGCAAGTGCCATGACACTGCCAGAATCAGGCTAGTGAAGAGGAAGGACTGGGCTAAAGCCCTGAAGACTGCCTCTCAGGAGAGCCCATTCAAGGGAACAGTTTGCAACTGGTGGTCAAAATGGTTGCCCTGAAGCAACAAGATGGGCTGCATCTGGGTGGCAGGCCATTACAGAGAGAACCCAACTGGCATGTGAGAGGGGAGGACAGAAGCCACCAACTACTAGCCCAGAGGAACCCTGCAGAAAAATTCAGACTAAACTGCTTCCAATGAAGAGTAGCTGCTACAAGCAGGCAAAGAACTTTTATGTGGTCTCAGAAGTGAGCTGCCATTCAGATTCAGAATAACCTGGGGGGAAAGGAGAGACCAGGGTAAAGGATCCTTCTAATTTCTGCCACTGTTATTTCACATAGAGAAAAAGAATGCATGAAAGTCAACTGAGTGGCACTCTCGTAGGTGGCTCGAAAGCAACACAGAAGACCTCATACACACCCAGCACTTGACCCTGTAAAGGAGACTTATTTCAGACATATGAACACGTGTCTGACCTGGGCTTTGCAGCTTAAGATCGCATCAAGTGGGTCTTAGTTAAAAGTTCCTGACCTGCACTAGCTAGTCAAGTCTTGACTGACAGCATCTTGCAGTCACACTGGTACCTGCCTTCCCAACACTTCTGCTGTAGCACTTCTGTACCTCAGGGCACCATGTAACAAGCACTAAAGCTAACATACACAGAAAATCTTGAGCAGAAAGAATGCCCATAAATGGCCTTAGAGACCAGAATGTCACCAATGCCTTCTGCGCCCACTTCTGCCAGGCCCAAGTAGGAAAGAAGGGTGGTGGCAGCGGCCAGGCACTGGAGGAGTGGCTCACCTTTTTATGCTTCTTAGCCATCCATTTGTCCCAGTTGTTCAGCATATCCAGCCACTTAGATTCCCTCTGCCTTAGTTTGTCCAGCGGCACCTCCTCGAGCCTAGGAAGAAGATTAACAGGCCAATTTACTAAAATGGGAATTACCATCTTCCTTTAAACTAGTAATGCTTTGGGGGAAAGGCTGGATTCCTGTACAAATAATGTTTGTTTTTCATTTCATGTAATTCGGAGGCATCAAACTCATTTGTGACGAGGGCCAGATCTGACATTAATGTCACTTTGTCGGGCTGGGCCATGTGCTCCATAAAATGTAATGCCAGGTACTGGAGATATAAGCTTTATAAAGGACACAGGTAAACCCAATTACCAATTTTTTAAAACTCAAAATACAAACAAAAGCAATTGACTTCTAGCAGTGAAAGCAACTGATTTACCGGGGAGCCCACAAAAGCCCTAATAAATGTATTTAATCACACGCAAGACTAGGGTTTTTCCCAAGGGATACCATAAAAGCGGGCATTCCAAGGGATACCATAAAAGCACCTTATGTTTCTGTACATACCAGTTGCTTGTGGGCTGGGTAAGAACCCTGGCCGGTTCTGGCCTCTGGGCCTTATGTTTGACACCCGATATAATTAATTTGTCCAACTCTAGTCACATATTCCCTGGAAGTGTTCTAAAAATTTTGGAACCAGATATGTTAGCTTGTTTTGGAATTGATACACATATACACGAAAAACCAGACCCTTGGTCCATCAGGGTCAGTATTGTCTACTTCAGACTGGCAGCAGCTCTCCAGAGTCTCTGGCAGGTCTTTCACCTCACCTACTGCCTGGTCCTTCTACATTAACAGGCCAGGGGTTGAACTGGGACCTTCTGCGTGCAAAGCAGATGTTCTGCTATTGAGCCACAGCCATGATTTACCATTTGATCTTGTGGCTGCTTTATTGTGTTAGGTTAAATACTGCACACCTACCTCAGATACAAAGCTTATCATGAGCTTGTTAACTGCTCCAAGACACGGCATAACATTCTGTTAGAAATCCTCTGTGGTTCCCCATATTAATGACTGAATTATGAGAGTATGAAAATTGCTCTTGTATCTAAAGCGACATATCAAAATGTAATTACAAACCAAGATAATAGAAGGGCTGATACGTTCATGGGAAAATGGCCTTTGTTTATAATATGTCCTGGAACAATAAGGTTAACTTTCCCCCCTTATTTTGTGGGTTTTAAATTTTTTTGTAATGGGTAATCTTTTTTCTCCCCTTCGCCACCATTAATAACAATATTTTCATTTCTTAAAAAGCCACACATCGTTGGCAGTGAGGCACACTGCTTCCTCTTCCTCATAGTTTAACAGTCCCCAGTTACGTCAGCCTGTGACTTCAGCCTTCCAAGATTCTACACTGCACTTGTAAAAGGTACATGCACATCCACCCAAGTAGCACAGAATACTAGTAAGTGTACAAAATGCCTAGGCAGTGTGGCCCAAACTTGTGATAGACGAGATAAACTTTTTTCCTAATTCTTTAAAAGCAAACCTTACAATTATCTGAAAAGGGTTACTTTCAGAGAAAATAAAAATGAACAGGGTTGAATGAAGTCGGTTCATAACAGTAACTCATACAGAAATGCAACTGACAGCCTCAGAGGACAAGCACTGGGAGCAACTGACACGATCACAGCTAACACAGCAAACTGACCAGAAGAAAACAAGGGATGAACATCGTGCAGAGATGCAATGGGCAGGTCCCTCTGTAGGTAGGAACGGGACATTCATAGGAGCCCTTAGTTTCTCACAGCATACTCATGTGACCCAACACACAATTTGCACATTTCTAAACTGGGGACCTGGAGCTGCGGTGGCTCAAGTGGTTAAGATGCTGAACTGCAGGCTGTGGAAGATCGGTAGTTCAGCAGTTTGTGACCCGAGTTGCCGCAGGATGGAGTGAGCTCCCGTCTCTAGTTCCAGCTCCTGCCAACCTAGCAGTTCGAAAGCAAGAAATTGCAAGTAGATAAATAGGGACCACTTTGGTGGGAAGGTAACAGCGTTCCATGCGCCTTGGTGTTTAGTCATTCCAGCCACATGACCACGGAAATGTCTTCGGACAGCGCTGGCTCTTCGGCTTTGAAACGGAGATGAGCACCGCAACCCTAGAATCGGATTCGACTGGCTTTCGAGCAAGGGAACCTTTACCTTTAAACTGGGGACAGGTGTGTCCGAATGACAGTGGCAAGACAGACAGAAGGCTGAACATAAAACTAGATAGGATGGATGTCAGGAGATCTGTGAACAAATCCATTAAAAGCTCTGGTGAATAAAAAAGCCTCACAGCACCTTCTAAAAGTTTCTGTGTATGGCACTCCCCTCACATACCCAGACAGCCTGTACTATTAAGTGGGACCAGCCGTAGAAAAAACAAAACAGGCCCTTAAGGAATTTAAAGAATGTGCACCTGAGAACTTTTATACCATCTGATTACAGGAATTAGGATACAAACAGGCAACACAATGCTTAAGAAGCCCACTCAGGTTCCCTGCAGCCCCCCAACCCAGGAAAGGCTAAATCAGACTTTTAAAATTTATTTTCATTTATTTAATTCCATTTATTAATTGCCTATCCCCACAGTTGTGGGGCTCTAGGCGATGTACAGAGTTCTAAAAGCATAAAACAAGTCCAACAACATACAGTAATTTAAACAAGTGGCGAAAATTTTGTAGCTCCCTCCCATGTCTGGTCTGTGGGTGCTTTACATGTTTGGGGGGGGGAGTAAGCTGTATAACGAACAGGGGTCCAAGTAGGGTGCCAGCCATGATGTGTAACCGAATGCCTGGCAGAACATCTCTGCCTTACAGGCCCTGTGGAATTGCATAAGATCCCGCACGGCCCGGATGTTATTGGGCAGAGAGTGCCACCAGGTTGGGGCCAGGGTTGAAAAAGCCCTGGCCCTGGCTAAGGACAGCCAGATCTCTCTGGGGCCAGGGACCACTAGCAACGTAATGCTCTCCCGGGGATGTAACAGAGGAGGCAATCCCGCAGATACGTTGGTCCCACACTGCTCAAGGCCTTGACGGTCAGAACCAGAACCTTGAACTTGACTCAGTGCTCCACTGGAAGCCAGTGCAGCTGGCGCAGCACAGGTCAAATATGCATAGTCCTGTTAGGATGTGCTGCCGCATTCTGGATCAGTTGGAGTTTCCGGGTCAGTCTCAAGGGCAGGCCAGCATAGAGCGAGTTATAGTAGTCTAGCCTGGAGGTGACCCTTGCATGGATTACTGTGGCTAGGTCGGAGCACTTGGCATAGATGGAAAAATGCCAGTCTGGCTGTGTGTGTGACCTGGGCCTCCATATTAAGGGATCATATCCAAGATCATACCACAGGCTCCTGACAGACTGCACGGGTGTTAATGGTGCCCTGTCAGGAGCCGGTAAACTGAACCCAAGCCCTGAAGCCCCTCCTCCCAGCCACAGAATCTCCGTCTTTGTTGGATTCCATTTCAGCCTGCTCTTTTTTAACATTCCCACCACAGCCTCCAAACCTGTGGCCAGATTTTTTGGGGCAACATCCGGGTGGCCGTCCAAAAGCAGATACAACTGGGTGTCATCAGCATATTGGTGACACCCACACCCAAAACTCCAAGGCAGCTGGGCAAGGGGGCATGTATAGATGTTAAGTGCCCTCTGAGGGACCCCTCATTCTGGGGTATCTAGAGGGCACTTTCTCACCGAGCGCCACCCTCTGTCCCCAACCATAGAGGAACAAGGTAAGCCACTGAAGGGCTATGTCAGCAAGGCAGTGGATCAGGAGATCATAATCGACCGTGCTGAACACTTCAGAAGGCTTCCATAAAGCACCGTTTCTACATGCAAAATGACAAATAGAAACGTAAGATAAACAGGCAGCATGTACAAATCATAAAATCAATTAGAGTTTCCAGTTTTGAAAAGGTCTGGCTTTGTCACTCAGATTAACCTTCACCTATGCTCTGATCTTCATATTTATTTATTTATCCTTCCATTTGTATACCGCTCACCCCCTGAGGGCTCTGAGCGGTTTTATTTAATCAGTATATTTTCCACGCTGCCAAGAATCAGGCATCCCCCACGCTGCCATGAATCAGGCATCCCCATGACTCTCTTTACCTGTTTACAACCCAGAATGGGAAAGCTGCATATGAAGCCATAATATTCTGCTAAATATTTAGAGTATATTTTTCGTGCTTAACAGCAATCCTCTCAACCTAGGAAACTCTAGGACTTGGGGGGGACAGGTCACGTGCACGTGGGACCCTAATAATTTTCAGTATCCTTGCCAAACTACAACCCCTGAAGTTCCTTGAGAGAAGCCACACTTAGAATAAGACTGGTATTAGTCCACTGTACAGATACAGAGTCTCAGGACTTCCATGGCTCAAGGCTTCAGCCAGCCCACTTTTCCTCAAGGCCTGCCAATGCCACACACTGTTGTCACATTAAAGACCACGAACTGAAATATGCCTGAACTTCACCAGTTTTCAGCAGCAAGGCCCACTGCACAAAGGAAGGGGAGCTCTGTTCAGGCAGACAGCTGGGACAAGGTGAACTCCTGCTTAAGGCATCCCACTGTCAAGCTAGCACTTCCAGTTTGCTGTTTGTGAACCAGTTTCAGGCCAAGGCTGTGGGATCCAAAGGCAGAGGAGGAAAGAAAGCAGACAGAATGAACGTGTCTGGCTTGGAGCTGGCAGCCAGCTCCCACTTTCTCTGCCTGAAGTGTGCATTTATGGACTTGCTGGAGCTGAAAAGCAAAGCCACAGTCCACTTCCTCTTCTCTCAGCCTCTCCTAAAACAGGGCAGCAGCAGAAAGGAGGTCAGCACACAGGCTGCAGTGAAGAACCAGATCTAAACACTGAAGCACTCTGAGAAACAAGTCACAGGACAGCCTAAAGAAGAAGACAGACTTAACCAAGTATGCCCAGTGCCTCATGGCCTTCTTCTAAACAAGGCAAAGCATCTTTGTGCCCAAATGCCAGCAGCAAACCATGTGACCCTTGATTTCACACAGAAGCTTTTCTTTGATGATGCCCAGCTTGCATGGGTTACAACTGCACTTGGGT